AAATTTGTTAGTCTCTAAGGTGCCACAAGTACTCCTGTTCTTTTTGCGGATACAGACTAACACGGCTGCTACTCTGAAAACTGTCTTCACAGTAATTTGATTGATTGATTGTTTACACTTCTTCTGTAAATCAGTTAGTTGAACATTATATATATGTGTATACTCTATATTTCAAAAGGTGTGATGACAGCAAACAATCAAAAGGTGAAGACAAGGAAGTCCAGGTGAGTATTTGATCTATCAGAAGATTGTTCCAGTTAAAAATAATCCTTTATTTTCTTTTAATTTTTTTCTTTGACTATGATGGAAAAGAATGTTTCAGACCTGTATTCTGGCATATGCAATAGCAGCAAGTTACATTAAGCCAGTAACTCTTATGGAAAAATATTTTATTTTTAGATTTTGTAGTAGGGCTTACTATTTCCCCTATAATACATATAAATTTCTGTCGCAAACATCTGGAATAGTAAAAATGTTCCAGTATGAATGTACACTATAACTAGAGTTAACAGAATGGTTTCATTTTAGTTACCTAAATCGGGGTGCCCAACCTACGGCCTGTGGGCTGTACGTAGCCCACCTGAGCATTTCATAAGGCCTGTGGCCTGCTTCAACACAATATACTAACTGCCAATTCATTAGCATTTTGTTGTCATGTTTGCATCATTTTAGTTTACACAAGTGTGTAAATAGACATTACTGTACATAGGTTGTTTGTATCTAAATACATACGAAACAAGCTGAACTTAAAATCTAAATCAGTACAGGTGAATTTAAATCTTATTAAAATATGTAGAATCTGTTTGGCCCACACAAGGTTGTGCTTAGGTTTATGTGGCCCTCCTGCGTAATAGGGTTGGGCACCACTGACCTGAATCATACAAACAAGAAATCCTCAGGGTGTTTTTACATCTTTTTTTTTTTTTACAGGATAAAGAGAAAGATGATGATGAAATAAAGTCTGAAGAATTCACTAGCCATGAAGAACTACTAGGATATTTGGTAGGTGTTAAATTTATGTTGAGCCAAGTTTGATGAAAAATTTAATGAAATATTTAATGTAGCTTATAGTTGATTAAGACTGTGGTCAAAAAGCAGAAGATATATTGAATGTAAAACATAGGTAGTCTGTTAATTAAAAAATACTTCTTTTATGTATGATGGTTCCACCTGGAACAAAAATTTGGTGTGGGATTCTAATGGGAAGAAAATCTAAGGGAAAATGTACTTCAGGAGTGTTGGCAGTTTCTGGGAGACCATATCAAAGGCAACAACAGCAAACTATCCCAAGGTGAAGGAAAGATAGGAAGACTAGTTAGAGGCCAATATGGCTGCATGAGGCACTCTTTAATAGCATGAAAATAAAAAAAGAATCCTATAAAAAGCGAAAATGTGGACAGATTGCTAAAAATAAGTACAAAAGAATAGTACAAGCATATAGGGACAAAATCAAGAAGGCTAAGGAACAAAATGAGTTCTATCTAGCAAGGGACATGAAAGGAAATAAGAAAAGGGTCCATAAATACATTAGGAGGAAGAGAGATGAAGGAAAGAATAGGTTCACTGCTTAGTGGGGAAGGAGAACGAATAATGGACAACATCAAGAGGAACGAGGTGTTTAATGCCTGCTATTTTGCTTCAGTCTTCACTGAAAAGGTTAATTGTGACTTGATGATTAACACAATTAATATTAACAAGAGGGAAGGAACATAAGCCAGAATATGGAAAGAACAGGTTAAAAAAAAATTGAGATAAATTAGATGTATTCAAGACAGCAGGGCTGTTGTATTAATTTAAATGGAATAAATGGGCCAAAAGAGTCAAAGGTTAACATGACCCTGTCACTATCCAACAATAAACAGTGTTAAACACAGTTTGGGGTTTGGTATACAGAGAACTCAGCTTGCTTAATACCATGGCAAACACACCAGAATGGCAGATGAAATTCAGTGTTGATAAATGCAAAATAATGCACAATGGAAAACATAATCCCAACTATACATATAAAATTATGGGATCTAAATTAGCTGTTACAATTCAAGAAAAAGAGCTT